TTATTTAGCAGTTGAACCTATGGCAAGATGGACATACATCTTTCTAAAGCAAAGTGTGGAAATATTTGCCACAGCTGATAGCTTACCACAGCAGAAACTTTCATTTTTCTCTATGAGTGATTAAACTTTTACTGGTGAGATTCTTCGAAAGTTTTATTTAATCGTCAAACCAGTAGCTTAAGTATATTTCCAAATGTGGTATGAAATCTAAGTATTGTAGATGGGCCAGGTCACATAGTAACACTGTTGCGATTGCTGAAAAAACAAGATAATGAAGTTTCAAAATATTGCCACACAATACATTCAAAATGGAACCTATTTTGCCCACTCGGAATTACTTATTTCAATTCTTTTGTCAAGCTCAGATGAAGAATCTAGAAAGATTGCTATTAAAACAATTAAGGATATAAGGAAAACCTTGCAGTTTGGAGACACATCAGTGAGTTTAGGAAAAAAGGTTTTTCTCAATACAGAAGCTTTAACTATCAAAGAGATAATAGATTGGGAAAAGGAAAAAATATCAGAACTAGTATTTACATACCAAATCTCTACATACAATCTTGACAAATATCTGTTTACTCGGTTTGATGTTCCGTTTGAATCTCTTCACACATAATTTTGTGAAAAGACAGAAAAAGAAGTTAGAGACCCAGCACTTTCCGTTTATGGTTTTGAAAAAAGAGATGGTTTTGTGAGAGCAAGAATGAATAACAGAAAAACTTTACCCTGGCTTAATTCAAAAAAAAAATTAGCCTTTTTAAAAAAAAAAGGTAAACAAAAAATTATTAAAGATAAAATAAATTTTTTTTATAACTTAACATTGTTTTGCTATTATGCTCTTAAAATTAAAATTAAATAAAACTGCCAATTCAATAAATTTTGATTAAAACTTAAATTCTTTTTTCTAATGCCTTTTGCCCTGAGAAAATAATTTAAAAATAGATATATATTTTTGTTTCATCATATACGGTAATACATAAAAAAAAACTTTATACTATTTTAGATTTCAATAATTAAGTATGATAAAAAAGTATGAACCACCCTTGCGCTTATGGCTAAACCAACAATTTTTTTTCTTGGAAATAAATATTTACATATAATAGCACCATAAAAATTATTCACGAAATTGAAAATCAAAAGTCATCCGAATCATGATCATCAATGCAATCCGAATTTACCAATTTACTTTGTGATCAAACAAATTATTTAAACAAAAATATGACCCTAGGTACAAGCAAACTATACAGACTTAAGTACAAGACTTGATAACCTCATGAAAAACATTATCTATCAACAAACCTGAATTGAAATAAAACTTATTGAACATTGCTTTAGACCATTAAAAAGCATATTTCCAAGTATAACTTGCCATAGCAACGCTCTCTGAGAATCAAAATAGGATTGAAAATTTTTTTAAAACTAATCAACATGACTAAAAAGCATAACTTGGAACTATACAGCTTTCAAATAAAGTGGGGCGACCCTAGATACAAGGGGTCCTAGGTAAACAAAAGGGTGTTTCAAAAAAAGACCATGTCTGAAAAAAAATTTTAGTACTAAATCATGATTTGCCCAGATCATGATTTAGTACTAAAATTTTTTATTTATTTATGAAAATCCTAAGAGTCTCTTTCGGGGGAATTTTTAGGCTGTTTTGTACCATTTTTTTAACAATTTGAAGGAAGTATTAAAATTATTATTTTTTAATTTTTTTAAAAATATTTTGTAATACTTATTTAAACAAAATAAAATGGGCTATTCTAATAAAAAATTTTAAACTTATAAAAATTCATAAATATTTAGAAAAGCACATAAGTAAAAAAAGTTTTTTATAAATTCTTAAAAATCATACAAGTACATTATATTTCGATTTACTTAATAGAGAGCATTATTAATTTCTCAATTATAATCAGCTTCAGTAATTATTATGGCAAATATGCAAAAGAGAGGGACTGGACAGGGAACAAAGATATATTTTCTGTAATCAGTAGTCAAAACCATAAAACCAGTTTTTACTCAAATAAAAAAAAAATCAAAATTTAAAAACTAGAAGAATTTTTAAACTAAAATTTTAAAGTAAAATTTGTTTTAAATTAAAAAATTTATGATCCTCTTTACTTTCTCTTTAAAAATTGTTATTAACAAAAAACATAAGAAACTAGACTTTATTTGTTCCAGTGACTTTTTGTAATCTGTTTTTTCTGTTTTTTTAAACTATTTGTAAAAAGAAATGTCCTTTGCCTTTTCTTCTGTTTTCTTTCTTTTCTTCTCATTTCCTTCTTGCTTATTTGGTCTTAAACTAACTTAACTTCTATCTTAGTGAAGACATTAACAATATCAAGTCTCTTGACTGTAACTCTAAATTCTAGATGAAAATTGTTGAATTTCCAAAACTCTAGTGGAGTTTTTTATCCCTTGAGTTTCTGCCATCCATTTTATTTCATTTAAGTTTTTTTTTCAAAAACTAGCCACGACTTGTCTGTTGTTAATGAAGTCAAACTTAGTCCATTATCTGGTGCTCAAAAAGAAAACTATTATATGGGCATCTTTCCCTGCATTCTTTATCTGCTAAGACAAAAACTACCAAAGTATGTCTGAGAATAAAGCTTGAAGCAGCTGGAGAGCCAATTAGATTCCATTCTTCAAACCTTTTCATTGTCTGTAAGCTTTCATATCCTAATAATAAATATTAATTAATGATTTGAATCACTTCAATCATTATTGAGCTTTATAACTTATTAAAATATTAAAAGATCCTATACCTGTGCCAAGGAACCTAGCTCTGCTTTTAGAAACCACTCTGTATAGACAAGAGAAATAAATAAAGCCATAGCAGTTATTTCTTCTTTGTGTTTGTCAGTTAGGTTTTGAAATTCATTCATTTAAAGATACAATTTCAAATAGTATAAACCTTTTCCAATAAACAGTTTTAAAAATGATACAAAACGCCCTAAAAATTGCCTCTTTTACTCCCTGAAAGGACCCTTAGGATTTTCGAAAATTAAAAATGAAAAAAATAAAAAGGTCGGGGCAAATGATAAGCTAGGGCTCTTTGTTTTTTCAGACATGACTTTTTTTTGAAACACCCTAATATAATTATATATATATATATATATATATATATATATATATATATATATATATATATATATATATATATATATATATCTGCCAACAATGAAAGTGTTTTAGGTCTATCTGCCGACAACGCCGACCTGAAAGTGTTTTAGGTCTGCAAAAAATTGCCAGCCTTGTTTCTATGCTTTATGGTCAGACCTTTGTATAATATAATTTTTTCCAACCTGATACCGACCTCTAAAAATTGAGGTCGGAAATTATTACCAACCTCATTTTTCCTAATTCCGAGGGTTGTATATGAAAGCTCTATCTTTCCTCTTTCAATTAGCATATAAATTCTCTGATTATTTTTTGTTTAGATAGCAATTTAAAATGCCAAACCAACAAGCCCTAAAAAGTTGTGTGTATAATCTTTATAAAAAAAAACATGAAGATGGAAAACACGTTGTTTGGAACCATTTCAAGAGGGCTACTCAAAAGCAACAATTTATAGATATATGAAGTTACAATCAAAATAAACAATTGGGTCGCAAAGCTGGAAGTGGAAGAAGGCCTACTCTTAATACACAAAACAACCTCGGAATTAGGAAAAAAGAGGTTGGCAATAATTTGCCGATCTCAATTTTTTAGAGGCATCAAGTTAAGGAAAATGTTTAACAATTGAAGAGGTGTGTCATTTTCAAAGGCTTCAAGAAGACTTGGTTGAAGCAAAAGCACTATCGGACGAATCTTAAAATGCTTTAAAAAGCCTATTCTTTGTTATAAAAGAAAAAAATACCAAGCAGAACTCCTGAACAGAGGCTTTGGGGTCCCCGAAAATGTGGTCAACTTTATTCAAAATATCACAACTATGAATTTATTATTGATGATGAGTCATACTTTACTTTGTCGAATAGCACACTGGCTGGTAATAATACATACTATTCAAATGATCAAAAATTGAAACCAGACATTATTAAGTATTATGATGCTGCAAAATTTGAAAGAAAATTATTTGTATGGATGGCAATCTCCCCTCAAGGGGTCATATCTGATTACATTGTTCCTTCTGGCCAAGCGGTAAACCAAGAGATCTATTTAAAAGAATGTTTACAAAAGCGCTTGCAACCTTTTATTAATATTATCGAGACACCAAGTATATCTTTTGGCCTGATTTAGCAACATCTTACTATGCTAATTCAGTAACAAAATGCTTTAAAACCCAGAAGATATCATTTGTTTAAAAAAAGACAATCCAGCAAACTTACCAGAAGCTTGTGCTATATAAGATTTTTGGGCAATGCTTAAGCGGGATGTGTATAAGAATGGATGGTCTACAAATAATATATCAAACCTTGAGCATCAGATTCGTTATTGTGCCAGTAGACTTGATCTAAATGCTGTACAAAAGCTGGTACAAGGTACCAATACCAGACTTGATTAAAATTGAAGATACGGAGTATTGTAATAAATTTATTTTTATTTTCCTATACTGCATATTTAATTCTAAGAACATACAAAAAAAATTTTTTTATCATGTTTAAGTTTTTATTTAAGTTTAAAGCCAGTCTCAAATTTTATGGCACACATTATATAATATATATATATATATATATATATATATATATATATATATATATATATATATATATATATATATACATACATACATACATACATACATACATACATACATACATACATACATACATACATACATACATACATATATATATATATATATATATATATATATATATATATATATATATATATATATATATATATATATATCCTAATATATATTTAATAAATATATGTGCTATTTAGATTGGTGTTTTTACTTTCCTAAATAAAAAAATGCACAAAAATATTCTAAAGTACATAAAAAATTTTGAATAAAAAAAAAATTAAACTTATATATAAAAAATAAAGTTAAATACTTGAATTACAACGCAGCATTGTATAAAATCATCAAACGTTATTACACCTCGTCCTGTTCGATCAAATTTTCGAATTAGAATATCATAAAATTGATCTGACAGCCGATATCCTAAATAAAAAATATTTAAAATAAAAAGAATTTCACAATTTCAAAAATTAAATTATATTAAAAAATTATAAAAAGTTTTTTTTTAATTTTTTAATATAATTAAGATTTTGATATATTAATATGATAATAATAATATTATATTAATATAATATAATTAAAACAATTCTATACAGTTGATAATAGTAATAACCAATAGTTTTAATTGTTTTGCACATTTTTAAGTGAAAACAAAAAATCTCACCAAATGATGTTAAAGCTTGCTTTAATTCGTTTTTATCGATATTTCCAGAATTATCTTTATCAAAACTTCTGAAACAATTTTGCCAATCTGTAACATATTTCCATAAAGCACCAAACTCTTGGAAATTAATAGTTCCACTCTTGTCTCGATCAAACATGCCTAAAATTTGCACATGTATTCTTGACAACATTTATTTTTTAAAGTAATAACAGTGCATTTTTTATTTTATTGGGTGGTGGTACAGAACACCACTAAATATTTTTTGAAAATTGAAAAAAAAAGTAAAGTTATGATACTTAACTCATTTTATAGACAATTTATTTTTAGATTAATAAAAATATAAAAAATTGGTTCCTAACTTACTTTTTAATTTTTCGATAAACTAACTAAAAAAAATCTATATAGGAGTGACAACATCTTCTTTTGTGTTTTTCTCTATTTTTAAAATTTGTAAAACATTGTCTGATTGTAAACATGATATCTTGTGAAGCAGAAATGCAAACAAAATTTTCAGGAAACTTTTATCATAGTATATTTTAGAAAGTGACATTTGTAAGATTTTTAAATTCTACTCTAATCTCTTTTTTTTTTTATTTTTAAGCCTGAGAATTTTTTTATTTTATTATTTGATGTAAAAAAATTATTATAAATTTTAATGAACATTGAAAATCTTAAAATTCAAATGTCAATACCTTAAGTTACATGTCTAGAACATATGTAAAAAATTTCATGGATTTTGTATTAATATATTTAGAGTTATAGTGTTTTGAATTGATTCATAAAAATATTTTAAAATAAAAATGAGGCAGTTATCGTGGCAAAGTAAAATGAAGTATAAAATAACATCTTAAATTTATGTAGTTTTTATTGATATAAAATTAATCTTTTTTTTTTAATTTGAACAATTTTGAACATTTAATAGTGTACCACCTTAAATAGTAAACATACTTGTTGCATAGCAAAATTTGATGATGGTAAATTTTTCTTGCATGCTATTGTTGAAACGCATTTCAACAAAAACATGTTTATTATCAAAATAAAAAATAGAAAACACAATTCAAGTCTTTACACCTAATTTTACTTAAAAAATACTTAAAAAATCTTTTTTTATTCAATAACATTATTTTATACTAAGCTTGACACAAATTTGCTGAGAAAAATTTTCTACAATTTTAAAAAAACTGCTTGCTATTATCTTAATTGATTTGTTGATTGTTTCGACTGTTTTTTCACAAACCATGAAGATATGCTTGTTGCATAGCAACAAACATGTCTTCATTAACTACATTGAAACAAACATTATCTTAATTGATTTGTTGATTGTTTCGACTGTTTTTTCACAAACCATGAAGATATGCTTGTTGCATAGCAACAAACATGAAGTAAAAGAAAGTAAAAACAATAGTTTTTTTTAAAAAAAGTCTTTCTTCAATGAATAGCATTTTTTAAATTAATTTGTAAATCACTGTTCTTATTTATTAATTTATAAATATATAAGTTATATATTATACATTTATATATTATTTGTTTATATATTATAATAACCTTTTTTTTTTGCTAATTCTTAAGCCATAATTCTTAAATCATTTATGTTAAAACTTATTTTCAATTTTTATACCTATAGTTAATATTAGTAATTTCATACACTCTTAATTAAAAGGTGTAAAATTACACTGTTTTGGTGTTAATATAACCTCAATTAATGCTTTTTGAAAATTATTTAAGCAAAAAGTTTAAATTTAAACTGTTTTGTTGTAATTATACATTCGGAATTTTCAAAAAAAGGGTAAAATAACAACTTTTTATATTCACTGCACCATTCAAAAGGGTGTAAAAAATCGAGTATAGTAAAGTTTTTCTTCTTTAACACCTTTTAATTAAACAGTGTAAAACAGCTGTTTTACACCTTTTTACAAAAATATAAATTCATTTTTACACTGTTTTACACAACGATGTTTTTCCAAAAATGGTGTTTCATAAAATGTGTAATCGGTAAAGTTTACACCATTTTACAAAACTGTGGTTTTCATAAAACAGTGTAAACTTTATCGATTAGACAGCATAAAACTGTTGAAACTGTAAAGCTGTTTTTAAAATGGTGTTCACCAAACAGTGCAAAACTGCATCAAACCTTTTTATTAGGCAACTTTATATAAAAGTGTATCAACATTAGATAGTATAGAGTTCAGGGTTGGTACAAATCCGGGTTTTTTAAAAAAACCCAAGCCAGTCGAGTTTTTTGGGAAATTTTGGGTTTTATTTTTATTTCGCCTCTGTAAAAAAACTTTTTTTTTTTTTTTTGATGATATTGAAAATAAGTTTTATTTTCTACTTTAACTTTATTTAAAATATATTTTATACATTGTTATTTAATAATTTACAACAAGAATTTTTTTAATTATTTTAAAAAAGATTTTAAAATATAATTTAAAACTGTAATAAAAAAAAAAAAATTACACAATAAATCTATATGTATTGATTTATTTTAAGTTTAAAAGTATTATTCTAAATAATTAAAAATGTCAATGAGAAATAGAAAAAAGAAGGCTAGAGAATGGGAGGTAGTAACTGAAATTTCAATTAAACTTTGAACTTGAAATTCAAATGAACAAACTTGTTTCTCCGCCTTTTTTATAAAGATTTGTGTTTAGGAGTTAAAGAGTTGAGAGAGGATTGTAACCAAAATAAGGTAGCTTCCTCAACTGTAGTAGGCTTCTCTAGCCACTACTACTCATTTAAGTTCATCTTAGGAGGTGAATAACATAAAAGATTAAAAAATCTCAATTGATAAAAATACTTGAATAAAAATAGTAATGTATTTCCAAATAATGATTCAAATATTAGTAAACCTGCGCTAATAGCTGTTATTGTTGGTTATAATAGTTAATAATAATAGTTAAAAATAATTTAATTAATAATAATTTAGTTAATATTAATTTAGTTAATAATAATTTAGTTAATCATAATAGTTAATAATTATTTTAGTTAATAAAATTATAGTTATAATGTTAAAGTTAGTTATAATAGTTCATAAACTTATTGAATATCTTTAAAAAAACAAACATTAAAACCCAGATTTTCCCGGGTTTTTTAGGTGGGTTTTATTGGGTTTTTTTGGGCGGGTTTTTTAATACCAACCCTGGTAAAGTTGTTTAACATCTTTTTTTTTTACAAAAGTGGCCAACAGTTTTACACTATCATAAACTTATTAATAAATGTTGTTAGATGCATTTTAGTGTTTAACGTTTAACTGTGGTAATAAGACATTTACATCTAATATTCTTAAAGGTATAAGTGTTAAAGCTGATACAACACTATCACAGTTTCTTTAAAAAGGTATACTTTATTATTTTAAAACTAGCATAATATATTTTCACCTAAATAATAACTGTATAAATATATACATTTAAAAACAGTTATGAACTGATGATGTGTAAAGACCTAAAGATGTATAATAATTTATAAATATTTTTTGTTACCTAATACTAAGTTGAACACAAATGCAATAATTGTGTGTACAAAAGAGCAATTAAAAATTGATGAAGATGAGATGCTAGATGAGCTGGATTCTAATACACCACATGTTTAATGTTGTTCTTTAGATGGTTAGTTTTTTTTACCTATGTCAATCATTAAAGGAAATAAATGTTTCATTGAGTTTATATTTCATTATGTATATTTTTAATATCAAAGTTTTAAAATGATATTTCAAATAGTATACCAAATTTTACTTTTAAAAGAGTGAAAAGATATATTTGCTAACATGTTTTATCAAATTTTTAATATTTATATAGATAATTTCAAATGTTACCACATATTTTGTTAAATAATATATTAATCTGTTGATTGCAATTTTTTGAACTAATAAATTGTTCTGAAAATTAAATTACTAGTATTGTTAATAACAAATATTTGAATGAAATTATAAATATATGTAAAGTATTTAAACGTATCTTTACATTTATAATATCCAAGTTATAAGTTTCTTTTTTCTATTACAGTTAAATTATTTTTACTATATAACTTTTTCATATTGTAAAGTAAATAAAAGAAAAAAAATTATTAAAGTATTTTTTAATAATTTATTACTGCTATATATTTAAATATATATATATATATATATATATATATATATATATATATATATATATATATATATATATATATATATTTATACATACATATATATATACATATATATATATATATATATATATATATATATATATATATATATATATATATATATATATATATAATATATATATAATATATATATATATATATATATATATATATATATATATATATATATATACACATTACGTATATATCTTTAATAAAAAAATTTATCTGTCGTTTTCTCTACCAGAAAAGTTTTTATAACATTTTAACTACTTTTTATCGTGGTAAAAACATTTTAATTACAATAAATTAGTTTCACTTATTTTTTTTATGAACTGAGTATAATCTATACTTTTACATTTGTGTTTACAAGGGTTAAAATTCAATAATAATCTTTTTTTCTCTTTTTTTTTTTTTGACTATTAAAATGTATTTTTATGCTTTAGGCTTTAAAAAATATATATTTTGGTCAAAAAAAAAAATCAAATTAATTTTTTAAATTACAATCTTTACATTTTAAACAACAATGGACTTAGTAGATCATGTCTTCTAAACACAATATCTTCTCAAATACACAATTACAAAATGTAAATAATATTGCAGATGCATGGGAGAGAGTCTGATTGGCTATGGAAGTAGACATGTTTTTTTATAGTTTAGCTATTTCATAATATTTCATAAGTTATATATTATACATTTATATATTATTTGTTTATATATTATAATAAGTTTGTTTATATATTATAAATAAAATAATTTTACACCTTTTAATTAAGAGTGTATGAAATTACTAAAATTAAGAAACTATAGGTATAAAAATTGAAAATAAGTTTTAACATTTAACAGATTTAAATTTCAATAAAAAATAAACAGTTAAGTTTTATTTTTTTTACTGTGTTCACCTCCTTTGAAGTTGCAATGAGCCACAGGCCCAAATGGCCAATACAGTTTTAAAGGTTACTTAATATTATTTTATAATTGTTGTTACAACCTTAATGCTTTACTTCTGAAATTGACAAACTTGGAACTTCTTAACATGCAATCCTTACAAAGTCAGCGCTTTACAACTACACCACTTTATCACATACATTTGCAAAATTATATTTATTGATTGTTAAAACACTTTTATTAATTATTACACCACTATATGCATAAATATTTAACAGTTAACTTCTGTTATACTCAATGTTGTTATGCTTTAAAACTCATTACAAATAAACAATAGTAAATAGGAATGGTCAAGACTATTAAAAATATGTTATCTTACAAATAACTGGATGAGCCAAAAACAAAACAACAAGGAAATTTTTCATCTTTTTATTGAGTTTATCAAAAAAAGTTAGTTTATAAAATGTTTTTTTTTTTTAACAACATCATTTGTTGGGATTATAAACAAAAAAAAAAAAAACTTTTGATACTAAAACTGTTAACAGCTAACAACATCATTTGTTGGGATTATAAACAAAAACAAAAAAAAAAAACTTTGAATACTAAAACTGTTAACAGCTATTAATCAAGTTAAAGGTGTAAAAGTTAGAAGAAAAAGACATATACACGTACACATAGTATTGGTAATTTACTTTAAAAATTAATTAAAAAAAAAATGCTTATGTTGATGTTAGGAAATTAAAATATCATTTTAGTTGAACAAACAAGAATTAGTGACTGGCAGTGCACTGCTAGATACTACTTCATAACATTTATTGAGAAATGAACACTGTTCAACAGATAAAAGCCTTTTTACAAGTATGGTCAGCACCAACTTGCAAGGTAAAGATGGCTCTTGAGAACATAATGACAAACCCAAATAATGTTTTATTATGATTAGCCAAAACAAAAATTTAATACCCATCATTAGCCGAATAGTCTCTGGGTTAAAAGGAGTCCAAGTTCCTAAAAAAGAATGAAGATTATATCTATAAATACTTATATATAGTAATAAAAAGAACAATATAAATATATATATATAAATATATATATATATATATATATATATATATATATATATATATATATATATATATATATATATATATATATATATATATATACAAAATTAAAGAATGCAGGGACTCATAGAAGACATAAGGTCTTGTCATTGAGAACCACTAAAAAAATTTTGTGTTAAATTTACAAGATATTTACAAGATAAATAATAAGTTAACAAAATAAGAAACTTTTTTTAAAAGTATATATACTTTAAAAAAAAAAAATACTAATAAAATAAAATAGGATTCTGTTATAAATAAAAGATGCGTTATATTTATTATTTATATAAACTACCATTGTTAATATCAGAAGTACATTATTAATTTATCAACTGTAGAAATCATTTATCTAAGCTTTCAATTAAAAGAAAAATAGTTAATGGTGGATTTTCTAGACTTGACTCATGGGTTTGTGCATATGAATTAGTAGCTATGCAATTCTTCCTGTTAATTCCTCATGACTCCACAGCTCTTAAACTCAGTTTTGCAGCCTGTTCTATAAAGGTTTCCTAAACTCTGTGATAACTCTTAGAAGCTGATTTCATCAACAGTTGTAAAAAATGAAAGTGTTAACAGTGTCATGTTGCACATAGATGATGTCCCTGTTAGTGCTTCTGGTGTTCATTGTTGAGGCAGATTTCATGATATCCATTGTTGAGGCAGATTTCATGATATCCATTGTTGAGGCAGATTTCATGATATTCATTGTTGAGGAAAAGTGTGGATGGTTATTATCCTTTTGTTCACAAAAACTCCAACTAGTTTTCTAGACAACCGAAAACACTTAACTTCATTATTTGATTTGTTTTGTTTCTGAAATTACCTAGTGCCCAGTTTCTCTGTTTTTTTTTAGGTAGATCTCTGTAAAACTATTATCACATATCTAATACTATGTACCTTGGTCAAATTCAACCTTTCATTACACTTTTTAAAACTTACAATTTTGTTTATGATTTTCTTTTTGAAGGTCCTTGGGCTGATGTCTTTCACCTCTCTACTGATAACTGCGCCTTCTACGTAATACCCTGGATTCTAAAAGGTACGAAAGCTTTAATTCCTTCTCATTGGTTTTAAATCAAGCCTTATTACGTACAAATAATTTGCATATAATATAAACATCATTAGCACGCTAAAAAGTGTTTATATACTTTAATTTTCAAAGGTAGTGCTGTAGTGGTCTGGATGTTACATTCAAATTTTTCAAAAAAGTTTAATCTTAAGTTTTATGTTCTTCAACTATTATTGTTGTTTATCTTTTTTTTTCAAAGTCTTATAGAATAGGTATATCAATGCATACATACAAGTTAAGTAACACTAGATTTAAGCTAAAATTTAATTAAAAAAATTAGGTAACATTAGATTTAAGTCAAAATAATTAATTGTTATATTTAGAGATTTATAAAAAGGTGGCAGGATGGTTTATACTTTATAAAAAGGCAACGGAATGGCATCCCACCTCACTTCGAGCACTGCACGTACAAATAAAAAAAAAGTAGTTCTCCACAAATAATGTCTAAACTAAAGCGCAGAGTAATTGATGAACGTTTTACTGTTTTAATTATTTAATAACAAAATTAAAAAAAAAGATTTTTCAACTTATATTTCCAGAAAAATATTTGAATATCTGGAAAAAATGATGTTTTAAAGAAATATCAAATACTCTGGAAATATCAGGAAAAAGATAAAATCTGAACAAGTGCTTAACTGAATCTTATTTTTTAGCCTGCTAGAATGCCAGTTCCAATTTTTAAAAACTCTTAAGAACAATCTAATCCCTCAAACTATCATCCAATCAGTCTTTACTCTAATATTAGCAAGTTTTTGAGTCTTTAATGAAAAATTTCTAATATCTCACCTAACAACTGACTTGATATAACAGAAAGGTTCTATCTTGCATTAGAAAGAGCAGCAAGGCAATGGCTATTGGTCTTAACATATCAAAAGTTTTTAATAAAGTCTGGCATGCCAATCTTCTTCATAAGCTCTGGAAAAGTTTTTGCTAACAACACAACTTCATAGTCCAGCCTAGAAAAGAAGTAATCACTTTTTGATTATTTAGAACAGGCAGCCAATCTTGAATCTGATCTTTTTTCAGATACAGCGCAGGACGCCAAGTAACTTGTGAATTGTGTAACCCTAGCTATTTACAATTATCACAATATTGTTGATATTCCTATTGATAAAAGATTCCGTCCCCAAGATTCTTACTCCGTCCCCAACATTTACATTTTCTTGGATTAGCATTCACTACTGACCACTCCACAGTGAGCCATAATTCTCTTTTACTAGACAAAACTAATAACTTGTCATATAAATAAGATTTAAGGAGCATTTTCGTACTGTTTACTAATTTGAGGATTGTAGTTTCAATGGCGACATTAGTTTTAATTTTGGGTTGCTATGGATACCTAAATTGCTTAGCACAATTTTACCAAAATCACAACCTTAAGACAATTATACTTTCAACTTTAAGATATTAGTAATAATACTAAGGCTATTCTAATATTAGTAATAATACTAAGGCTATTCTAATATTAGTAATAATACTAAGGTTATTTTAATATTAGTAATAATACTAAGGCTATTATACTACAAAGGCAGTATTTTATTTATGGCTGAGGTAGAAATGGCTGGTAGAGGGACACCATTTGGGACATATAGGCTATATGACATATGACATATGGCAGTATTGCAGTATTATATATATATATATATATATATATATATATATATATATATATATATATATATATATATATAAATATATATATATATATATATATATATATATATATATATATATATATATATATATATATATAAATATATATATATATATATATATATATATATATATATATATATATATATATATATATATATATATATATATATATATATATATATATAATACTGCTTTTATTATAATTGTAACAATTTTACAGTTACACATAAAAAAAAAATCAATGACCAATAATGTAACAAAAGTACCATTTGAAAGTGCTTGCTGAAGTTCTGTAGCACTTATTGAGCCACTCCTGTCACGATCTACCCTAAGAAGCATTAAATTTTACATTATAAATTGATTTGAATTTCTACTGGATTGATATTTAACTAAAAAATAAATTAAAAGAAAGTTTACTTAGAAAACAAATCCCATAAATAATTTTGATTAGGCGGTGGAGCCTGGTATGGTGCTTGTTGACGCAAATATGCCATTGTCTTTAATATATTATGAAAATATAAGTAAACAATATAAGGCAATAAAACCTAAAAAGGTGTCTTTGATTATACACAAAATTTATAAAATATATATTTTAAAGACTTCAAATTTTTTAAAATAAAGTTTCCAAAATTTTTACTTAGAAAATTGATTAATGGCAAATTTGAAATCTTTATCAAAATCTTTATCTAACTCATTCAAAAGACTTTATTAATTTTCCAAACTTCAACAGCAACTATTTATACTGAAGTATTGGTTATTTTTTTTATTTTAGAAAGATGTAATGTAAACCGCCATTCTTCATGCAAATCAAGACTAAATGTAAACCCCCATTCTTCATGCAAATCAAAACTAAAAAAGCTTATAGGGAATCTAAAAAATCTATTGGTCCTAATTATAATATTTTTGATGACATATCATAGAACAAGAGAGTTTATTATGCACAGTTAAAGTATGTTGAGAAGTTGAGGATAAAACAATTGTACTATGATAACAATGATACTAATATTGTTTTCAATATGTTGTGATTTTTGTTTTTAAATCATCATCTCCTATTGAATTAAAACTTATGGACTTTAAATGTTACAAACTTCCTTTCAAACCTAGCCTTGTTTCCAATCAAGAACTGCACAACTTTTATATTACATATTACAAGCTCTAATCCTACCCACGAAAGATGCTATATGAATTCTTATGGTACTAAATATTTTTATATAGCAAATGTTATAGATAATACCAAAAAAAACAACAACAAACGAATAAGCTAAGAAATTTACACAATTTATTTTGAGTTAATGGGACCATAGCAGCATCCTTAAAAAATGGACACTATAAACTACAAAATAAATAAAAAAGTAAAAACTAATAAAAACATTTGAGATTTATAATTTTTTTTTTAAAAAACAAAATTCTATAATTCATGAGTCTGCTTCCTCAAGAACAGTCTGACTAGCTGCTAAATTCCAAAAGTGCTCAACGTTTGATCTCCTTAAAAAGTCATGAGCTTCTGGATCTGTTTTGAACACATGAAACCTCCAATCAGTAAATGTTTTTTTGATATTGGTACCCTGTTAATAAAAAGAGTAAAACATCACCATCAATTGAATTTTATAGCTAATTACACATTTCAGATAAATCATAAAAGAGCAACAGCAGTTATTACATTTAATTTTACATTTATATATATATATATATATATATATATATATATATATATATATATATATATATATATATATATATATATATATATATATATATATATATACACATACATACATACATACATACATACATATATATATATATACATACATACATACATATATATATATATATATATATATATATATATATATATATATATATATATATATATATATATATATATATATATATATATATATATATATATATATATATATATATATATATATATATATATATATATATATATATATATAATACATTTATACATTTTTTAATTAGATAGATATATAAGTGGATAAGTGGAAGAGTAAACTGGGGTAAAATAAAAAAACAAAATAAATGGTTTAGTAACTTTGTTTCTTTATAATTTAATAGAAGTTTAATAAAAAATCTTTTAAAAAGTATTATACTCTATTGCAGAGAAATTATTGTTTGATTTGAAAGTGTAAAAACTGTTTTTTTAAATTCAATTTTGCCAAAGCAAACTTTAACATTCTCAACCTAAAAATAAAATATTTCAAAAAAAAAAAGAAGATTCTGCAGAATATTCATAAATTCTTTTGCATCTAAAAATTCCTATTTCCACCAAAAATGATTTTTTTTAGTATCGAAAAAAAAAGTTACTTCAGAAGGTTTACTTGGTACTCAAAAGAAGAGTTGAATTAAAATTTCAAAAGTAAAAATTGTATTAAGAAAAACATATCCAAAAAATAATTATTTATAAAAAAAAATATTATTAAAAAAACTTTCAAGTTAAAAAATAACAATTTTTATGCAATAAATTTTAAAATATTAACTTTAATATGAAACAATTATTTTTGAAATTTTTTATATAATTTTGCTTATTTAGAGCCGGGTACTCTAATCTACTTTACTTGGCACTTAACCATCCATCTTCGGTTAATCTACTTTACTTGGCACTTAACCATCAAAATGTATTAAAAGTTTCATTTAATCACATGTAATATATATACTTTGTATTTGTTAACATATATACTTTGTGTTTATTAAAATATATACTTTGTGAAATGTACATTAGTTTAATCTACTGACTGTTCGTTTATACAAACTTTTTAATGACGCTAGATTATCATATAGACAATAAATTGTTAAACAAACGTTTAAAGCTAGAACCAAATTCAAAACTTGCAACATAAAAAAAAGGCACCTGGTTTAAGCGAGAGAGATAAGAAAGTCTTTATTAAAAATAATAATTATAAGGGGCATCCCAAATAGGTTTTAAAAGGTGGTGATGCATCTGTATTTTGCTGACTAGCAACTAAAAAAAAAAAAAGTTCTTATTTACATTTGCCCCCTGCTGTCGAAAGGTAGTCTAACCTTGCTGACCGCAGGTCCAAATTTTTGGTCCTGGGAGACTTAATACTTTTTAGTGAAATATTGTTAAAATATTTTTCATGCACAGGTTTGAGGCATAGAATGCCAGAATTCATAAATATGTGTGTGTTACATATGACCATATTCGGAAAAATAATTCTAGTTAAAATTTTATAATCTTCAAGCCAAAACAAACTAATTTGATACATTACTAAATTGGGTGATAGTATAACAATGGTTTTTAAAGGATGTTGATACATCCTTTAAAAACTATTGTTATACAATCACCAAGTTTAGTAATTTAAAGAAAAAAACTTCAATTTTTTATTATTTTTTCAACAATAACTAGAGATTTCAAATTGAACAAAATTGTGCAATTTTGTGCATTTGGATTTTTTTAATATTACTTTTGATTAGTGTAAAGACCAAAATAAACACAACAGAATCACTGACAGATTATGTGGGAGTTTTTTGATAGTTAATTTTAAAAGTTGATTAAAAAAAAGTCAAGTTTTATGTCTTTAAAGTTGATTAAAAAAAAGTCAAACTTTATGTCTTTAATTATAGTTTTATATATACAAATAAAAGTTAAATTTGTTTGCATAATTTCATAAAATTTTTCATTTATTAAAGATAAAAGAATCTCCAAACATGATAAAACATATTTTTTTTTGGCCTTAATATCATTTTGAAATATAAATAAAAATGTCACAAAATTCATGAAATTATACCTTTTCTATCATCATGTACGCTTTACTTCAATAATAACCCTTAAGTTAATGAATTTACTATCCCAATACCTTATTACTAATATATGTCTGAAAAAAATGGAAAAAATGTTTGTTAAAAAAATATTTCATAATTTAAAAAAAGGAGTTTTTGCCACTTTATCACCTCTCTGAGGCATAGTGTTCCATTTCCAACACCCATGTTGATTTGGACAACACCTAATTGATCAAAGCAAGTAATCTTTGTTGCTTAGATTGAAGTTGTGGAAACAACTCATTTTCATATAATCTAAATAATCGTTTAGTTTGAAAAAATTATTTAAATTTATTATGATTTACTGGAAAATTTTCTAGGGAAATTTAAAATCACAATTTACCCATAAGTTTAATCTAGTTTTAAGTTTCAACAAATTAATTAAAATATAAAGCATTATTAAAATATAACAAGTTTACTTTTCTTAAATTTTTTGTTAAAAAAAAACTCATTTTTACAAAAAAAAATTTAAAATATTTTTCCCTTTTTTTTTCTCCATATATATATATATATATATATATATATATATATATATATATATATATATATATATATATATATATATATATATATATATATATATATATATATATATATATATATATATATATATATATATATATATAGTGAAAAAAAAAATTACAAATAAAGCAAAAAAATATATACTTTTTAAAAAATATTCGAAAATAAAACTAGAATTATACTCTTACCTCAGTTTACTTATACTCTATACATAATAGTATATATATATATATATATATATATATATATATATATATATATATATATATATATATATATATATATATATATATATATATATATATATATATATAACTACATCTACAATTTCTATACCTCCCATATTAATTTGCACTCGTTCTTTTTTTTGTTTACATTAACTTCATTATTTTTTTTATCAATTTTGTCTTGTCGCATTCCTTGTGCAGAATCTTCTTCCCATTTAATTCGTGATAGCATTAGTTTTTTGAACTTTTTTTGAGACTTAGGTCCACCCTCAGTTATTACAAGAGCCATTCCTTTAGTTATAATCACACACCCTAAAAATTATTGAAAAAACTCAAAGAGGATGCTCAAAAAAATTAAATTAGATAAAACATCACATAACATACCAGTCAGATAAAGTTGCTGAGCATTTGTATCAACTTTAAATTTTTTAGCTGGATTTGAAATATTAAGAAGTTTATACAGAGAAGTATGGACACCAGTACTTAAATCTTCTTTTAGTTTTTTTACTTTTTTTAAAGCACGTTCTTCTTTTGTAAGCTTCCTTTCTTCATTTGCAGCTTCATGCTTTCTAAAACAAAGAAAGAATGCAAAATAAAGAAAATTAAAAATTGTTCAAAAAAAAAAAAAAACTATTTTTACTTTTGCCTAGCTGCCATCTGTGCTCGAACATGCGCTTCAACTTTAGTGGGATCTTGTACTGCCTCAGTTGCCAACACCCTCATTAAATTGGAAATTTTCACTAAAAATTATAAATATATATATATATATATATATATATATATATATATATATATATATATATCATATATATATTTATACACACATATATATATATATAAACACACACACACACACACACACACATTTTTTTTGAAAAACTAAATTTAAATCAAATAATACAATTACAATAGATCAATAGATTTTTTTTTAAATATAAAACTTAATTACTTTCAAAACAAAGGTCACCTATTTTTCATATAAAAAACTGAAGATTTATTATAGTGTATATTGATCAGCAATTAGTTTTTTTAGCAACACTCCTTTGCGGCAGCACAACATTGTGTATTTAGCTAAGCAAAATGATGTCACACTGAAAAAGGTTTACTCTTATTTAATTGTAATCTATATAAATATTTTGTAAACAAAGAATGGTATACATTAGAAATGTTTATAAAAAAAAAAAATTAAGTTTGAAATAGAATCATGCACGGAATGGAAAAATGCAAATTTTATTTGCTAGATAAATAAACTTTCTCTGAATATTTAAGTTTTAGCAATATACTTTTTTTTTTTTAATAATATTTTACATATCAGTAAAGATTTTTAGAAAGTTACAGGATTGTACTATGTATCATAGAGTCATAGCAATCTATGATACATAGTACAATCATTAAATTGTTCCTGTAAACCGTTTTAAGTTTAGGAATTTTAAATTGTTTTAGGTTTAGGAACCATTTTAGGGATTTTTAATTGTTGTAACAATTCTCAAAATGCCTGCATAAGAAATACGATGAGAAAAGATAAAATGATAAGAAAAGATAAAAATTTTAAAGTAAGCAATAAATACATTTAAGCCCTTTATCAGAGTTTTTATCAAATAAGTACTGTTGTTAATAAATAAATGGATAGCTAATATGAAAACAAAAAAGACAACATTTGTCTAAAGAATTTTTTCATGGTGCATCAAATGACACTTGCTATGTACACTACTGTTCAAAATTATTAAAATGACATTAACTTCTTTTAAAAATGCTATTTTTTATTTAACTATTTTTTATGTTTATTTTTGCACAATCAGATAATTTAAAAGTTTTTTGATAAAAAAATTCTTTGATAAAAATCATAAGAATAGTAAAAAAGTGGGCTTACATACTACATAAAAAAGTGGGCTTACATACTACATAAAAAAGTGGGCTTACATACTACATAAAAAAGTGGGCTTACATACTACATAAAAAAGTGGGCTTACATACTACATAAAAAAGTGGGCTTACATACTACATAAAAAAGTGGGCTTACATACTACATAAAAAATGGACCATCACTACATAAAAACTACATAAAAAATGAACCATCATGATGCCAAAACAGACCCACATCTTAATAGAATACACTTGAAAAATCATGCTAAAGCTTCAGAAAGATGGGTTTATGGGAAACCATTTATTTTTTCAGAAGAAAATGACTTAAAGCTTAAATCCAAGACACATATTTCAAAGAACTGCTTGAAAAAAATTTCAAAAAATTATTTAAAAATAGTTTGAGAGCCATCAAATATTGAATAGAATGATTTAGCCTCCCCAATCACAAGGTCTCTCTCCTGTTGGATATTTTACGAAGGAACTAAAAATAATGACAAAAACTGATGCCAAATGATGCATAAGATATGGAAAAACTTTTTAGTGGCATAAAATTGACTTTAATAAATTGGATAAGTCGTTAAGTAATATGCCAAGAAGATGTATGACAGATATTGTTGCTGTGGGTGATTAAAAGGTAAGTAAATTATCAACTAACCTAATGGGATTTTTTATTAATTTTTTTGTAAACCTAATACATAGGAAGATAACATTATTCTATAGGCTAGTTGGCTTTGTTTTCAGTTTCTTTCCCAATAGTAAGTAAAACTTTGATATCTTATATCGAAAAGGACGACCATTTGAATAACTATGAATGGTAGTGTATATATTTTCGTAACATTAATATTTTAATCATATGCTTGTAACAAGTATAAAATCAAATTTTGCATTTAATAAGCAATTTTTTTTCATGAATAAACAAATATCTTGTGCAAAAACCAAAAAAAAAAAAAAAAAAAAGAGGAGCAGCTTGCATGGCTTGCCATGTTTGTTTAAGGAGAGTTTTGTTCTTGTGCTCATTTACACCTAGCCTCTCTCTCTCTCTCTCTCTCTCTCTCTCTCTCTCTCTCTCTGTATGTATATATATATATATATATATATATATGTATATATATATATATGTATATATATATATATATATATATATATATATATATATATATATATATATATATATATATATGTTTATATATATATATATGTATATATATATATATATTTATATATATACAGGGCTCGAAACAACAATTTTTTTTGTTCCAGACAATTTGTCTGATAAAGACTCAAGTTTGCCGGACACACCTAATAAAAATTAAAGAAGTGCAATCAAACACCATTCCTGACCACACATTAAATATTTTGTTTTTACAACTTGACCACACAATTTATTTTGACAACTCTAGGCATATAAAAATGTGCTAAAAATAAAAATAAAATTTGTTAGATAAATTATCAAACAAAAAGAAAATCTTAAAGAAAAAATAAAAAATCTAAGCTCAAAAAACTAAAATTTGAAAAGAAAAATATATTTATATTACATTTTTAAAAATTACTTGTTTTTATTGTTAATAAACCTATTTTATTTTAACAATAATAAAACCATTTTAAAGAATATTATACGTGATTACTTTATATAAATATGTATTTTTTATAAATCTTTTCAAACTTTTTCTAGGATTAGTTTTACAAACACTTTTAATAGCAAAAAATTTTAGTGCAGAAACAAATGTTATGTAACAACTCAAGTTTAATAGGGTAATAAAAAGTACTGGTTTCTATAAGCAAGTTTAATTGGGTAATAAAAAGTACTGGTTTCTATAAGCAAGTTTAATAAGGTAATAAAAAGTACTGGTTTCTATATATTTCTTTGGTATCTTTTTAATAAGAATTAACTCAAAAAAATGACGTATTTTATTAATGTAGCGGCATGTTTAACTTTTTTTAATATTTGTTTCGTATATACAAAAAAAATTCAAAAAATAAAGTTTATATACAACGCTGAATTTATTAATAATTTTGGAGCAACTAAAATAATTAAAAAATAAATACACATAAAAGATGGGTCAGACAAAATGACTGATAAATGTCATTTTTTACCAGACAATTTTTTATCTGGCACTTATTTTGAGCCCTATATATATATACACACACATATATACACACACACACAAATATACATTGAGTAATACCGACATAAAAATGGTTGAAGTTGGCAAAAAATCGTCAACCTCGTTTCTATGTATGCGTGCAAGCATGTATGTATGTATGTATGTATGTATGTATGTATGTATGTATGTATGTATGTATGTATGTATGTATGTATGTATGTATGTATAAATGCATGTATGTATGTATGTATGTATGTATGTATGTATGTATGTATGTATGTATGTATGTATGTATGTATGTATGTATGTATGTATGTATGAATGTATGTATGTATATATATATGTATGCTTATATGTATGTATATATTGTGTAATATATTAAATAAAAATATAATTAAATATTATATTAACTACAAAATATTTAAAAAAAAACTTGTATACACATTTTGTTAAATTAAGAAAAACCTTTTGGAGGAGGAGGTGGTTCTAATCCAAGTCTAATTTTTTCTTGCTTTTCTTTTTCATTTTCACGCCTGCGCTGTGTCCGAATCTTTTTTCGTTCTTTCTTTGTAAGAAATATAGGCATAGGCACATTGTTTTTGGGTGCACCTAAATAATTAAGAAAAATTATTTATACTTTATAATATAAAAGGAAAAGTATAAAATCAATAATTTTATAATTTATAAAAAAGATTTATTTCTTACCAATTAAAATAAAGAGATTTTTTTAACTTACAAGGAGCATCTTTAACATAGGGATGCTCTACTAATCGAGTGATGTTTATAAATCGCTCTTCACCAGGCTTTAATTCTCTATCAAAATCACTATATTCTTGATTAGGAAGAATTGCTATGTCCCACCACTCTATATCGGGAACATGTTGCATTTCTTGAGCTTTTTGTTTTGCAACTTGAGCTAACTTTGTTGCAGAAGAAATCCCAGTTTTTTTGGCAACAGCTTGAATTTGCTTCTGTAACTTTTCCATTTGTGCCTGCACAAAAAAAAATATTGCATAAATTTTATTATTTAGCTATATCAAAAATCTGCAGAAAAACACAGTAATAATTGTTGAACAAACCTTTGCTCGCATTTTTTGTGCAAGAAGTTGAAACTTTCCTGCCTTATGAAAATTAAAATTTCTTCTACCACGCTGTGCTGGAACAATTCTTTTAAAAAATTAATTACATGTATATATTATCAACAAGTATATAGTTCAAACCACTTAAAACAAAGTTTTCATCTTTATGTATCAAAAAAACAAACAAACAAAAAAAAAAAACATTTCCCAATAAATTAACATAATTAACTAAATTACCCAACACGAGGATCATAGTGTTTACGTTCTTCTTCTTCTTCTTTTACCATGTCAGTCATATTAAACATGTCTTTCTTTTTTTCTCGTATATTAACTTTTAGAGTTGGCATTCTTTGTATAATTTGTATCTGACGACCTGTTGCTTGATCAATAGCATTACCTTGATCATCTAATACAACAGCAGCTGGTCGTGTCATTTCAGTGATTGGAATTGCATTCATCTCAGCAGCAGTTTTAATTGGAAGTTTGCTAAATCCACTCAAAAGCTTGAAAAATAAAAGCAAAAAATTTAATTGGAAGCTTCTTTAACCCACTTAAGAGCTTAAAAAATAAAATAAAGAAAAAAATATTTAGAATTTTGTTGAATCCACTTAAAAACTTGAAAAATAAAACCAAAAAATTTAGTTGAAAGATTCCATGCATTTTGTATGAAGTCCTGAAATCTCAGGATTCCATACCATTTGTTGATACTAAAATCCCTAGAAATCCTTAAATCCAAGGATTCAGCACATCAATGTTGATCCCAAAATCTTAAAATCATTGTATGCATTAATAACTTAAAAAATTGTTACTTTTCTCTAAAACAACTATAAAAAAACTACAGTATAGTATTAAAGCATAGTAAAAGATTATTTAGTGATAACAAGAGCAAAAATTTTCATTAAAAAATATACCTTGTTTTAACTTTAAGTTATTTTTTGGTTTCATTTTAATTCTTAATTGTTTCAAAAAAAATTTTCACATTGGTTTACCAAAAATATTTTTAGCATTGGTTAGTATATTGGTTTATTTATCTGAGCTGAAATACAAAGTGATGCATTTTGTGTGCAGTTAGTAATAAATGTTTTCCCATTAATTGATGGAAATTGTTAAAATATACAAAAAAAAACTAAATGAAAAAAAAAAAAAAGTGGGAGTAAAAAAAAACGATTTGCAAGTGTGGAGAACAACAATAATGAAGTCAAGTAAAAAAGCATTGTTTTGGTTCTTTGATGTGAAATTTTTTATTTATGAATCAATCAGATCCTAATTTTAAATTATACCACTGTGAACCAGAGTAACCACCAGGATAAGTTGTTCCCCAGGTCTGATTTTTCTTTTCCAATAGTTACATATACAATAGTAAACACCATTTATGGTATTTAGAACATCTGGGGGATTGGAGAAAGTAAAAAAAATGTTGTTTAAAAATTAAGTTTTTTAAATCATAAAAATTTTCGACAAAAATTGTTGAAAACCTGCAAAAACAAGCTTGTTTAAAATGTGTGCTATTTGTCTCACACAGTTTGGTAAAGTCATCCAAGTCATCCAAAACTCAAATGATTTCTCCTGCAATTGAAACAAAGATTAACACCTTTATCTAGTACAAGTAAAGTTCAGAGGTAACTACCCTAAAATTATATAATAATAAGACCAAAATGGAGTACCTGAGGAACTGGATAGAGAAGATATTGACAATAAAATTCCATGTTTTAAACTTTTTATTATTTTTTAATATTACTTTCTAATAAAAACTTCTCTTATATCAACATATATACACTTTCTTAACTAAAAATACAAAATTAAGAAAACTAAGGGTTTCTTTATAACATGTAGGTGTTGTTAAAAAAAACTTACAGTTTTCTTAATGCTTAAATGCATATTTATATACATTTGTATGTATATACAAATGTTTACTCATACAATTTACTTATAGTATAGGTATGACATAGATTGAGACATTTAAGTAATTGTATGTATTTAAGTATATGCATGTATGTATTGTATATATTACACATATATACATTAGGGTGGTTCTAAAAACAACTTTGAACATGATATACTTATCATGTTAGGTCTCAAAAGAAGCAAAATTATATAAAAACTTTAGACAAGTTCTCTATAATTGGGTCTTAAAAGAAATGAAATTATATAAAAAGTTTCAAAATAATCATCATTTTATAAAAAAAATTATTATTTTAGATTTCACCGCCTATAAAATGACATTTTTAAACTAAAAACTTAAAATATGCATTTTTACAAAAAAAATTTATTATAATTTTTTTTTCCAATGTTTTTAAAAATTGATGATTATTTTGAAACTTTTTATATAATTTCATTTCTTTTAAGACCCAATTATAGAGAACATGTCTAATGTTTAAAGGTCTTGAGTTGCCCCTAAAAATTTTTTAATAGTAGTGTTTTTTTATTATATAGAACACATTTATAGAGTGGGAGCAGACATTTAAAAAACAAGTTGTTTTAAGAACCACCCTAATATACATATACAGTGTATTTAAGTTTTTTATGTATGTCATAATTAACATACTGTACATTTAACTATAGATTACATAAATAGACTAAATAGTATAGGATGAATAGACTAAATCTAACAGTATATACATTCTAAGGCTGTGGTCATTAAAAAAAAGAAAAGCAAGTATATAGCACACTACTATGCAAACATTCCATGTAACACTGAGCTCAACTCAATCAAATGTGGCATGCACATACTCAGTTTCAATGTTGTATTCTGGTATCAGACATAAGACTTCTGCTTTTTAAAAAGCTTTTAAACTTTTTAAGACAGTTTAAAACTAGAAGGTATGTTTTTTTATTATTATCAACATTTCTCTCAATTATTCTGGGGCATACTTGTCAACAATTTCAGGGACATGCTTGCATTGTTTTCATCAAATACTACAATTGCAGGAGTAATCCTTTGAGATTTGAATGATTTTATCAAACTGTGTGAGACAAACAGCCAACGTTTTATGTGTTTTATGTCTGCAATTGTTTACACATTTATCAATATTGCAGATTTTCAACGATTTTTGTCAAAAAGTTATAAACATTTTTATGATTTAAAAAACTTATTTTTTCTATAAAAAAAAAAGAAGCTATAGGTGGTTATGAAGTGAAGTTATACAAAAGCAAAACTCAATAGACTTATAAGAACTAATGAAAAATCTGCATTAACAGCCAATACTTTGCATTACCAGTTTCTACAGAGGACCAGTGGAGTGCTGGCCCCGGAGGCTATGCAGGAATCCCACATGGGCCTTGAGTTATTTATCTAATAAAGGCATTTTGGAAAATAAATTATATTTTCAAAAAAAAATTTATTATTCACCAAGTTTATGATTTTAAAATTAATTTTTTCAACTATCTGATGTAAACTTTGAGTGCTAGTATATTAGTATTTTGCTTAATAAAATACAAACATTTAACACCGGCCTCAAAAAAACAAAAAACTTTTATTTTTTATTCATATTCTATTATCTCCTAATGAGAAGATTACAGAATTCACTCAATCTATTATCTTCTAATGAGGGTACAGCTCTAAAACTCAGTTTTATGGTTCTGAGGCCGGCTGGTAGTCAGGTTTCCCGAACTCTGTGGTAGCTCTCAGTGAGGCTGATTTTATCAACAGCTGAATAATATTAAAGTATTAACAGTGCCATGTTGCGCATGGATGGTGTCCCTGTTTGTACTTTTGGTGTTCATTGCCAAGGCCACATTCCAGCCCTTTGTTACGGCTTAGGGATTATTAATAGCAATGAGGCAATTGCTTGGGCTATTAAACAGCGTACTGAGTACTATCTATGCTTCGAGTCAAGTTCTTTAACAAATTTAAAAATAAATAAAGTACCAAAAACTATAAAACACAAAAAACCAATGTCATAACCAAGTTCTCTAAACATATCATTCACTAATATTCGTGGTTTTCGAAGTTACTTTTTTTCTGATGAGTCTTATCTCTTGCAAAGTTCACCAGACCTACTTGCTCTTTGTGAGATGAATTTGAGTTCAGTTGTCTCATCTTGTGATCTTAGCGTTGATGTTTATCTTCCTTTAATTCGTAAAGACTCCAATAGCCACTTGCTTGACCTGGGCATTTACATTTGTAAGAGTTCACTCATTTGTCGGGAAACTAGGTTTGAATCCACAGACTACTCTTTTATGTGCTTTCATTTAGCAACACTTCACTCTATGGCCTTTCTCTTTGTTCCATATTGCTCTCCTTCATCTTAAGACTGCACTCTTCTTGATGTTATTTCTGATCATATTGACCAAGCCCTCTCTCTTTATCCATTAGCAAATATTGTTTTGATCAGTGACTTGAATGTTCATCACACTGAATAGCTTGGTTCTAGTGTCAATGACTCTGCAGGCATTAAAGCCCACAACTTTTGCCTTTCTCAATCCCTAACTCAAATAGTCAACTTTGCGAATCGCTTTCCAGACAATCCAAATCATTTACCTTCTCTACTCGACTTATGTCTTGATTCTGATCCTAGTCAGTGCTCAGTTTCTCCACATTCACCCTTAGGTGCCTCTGATCAAAGTTTGATCTCTCTAAAACTATTATCTCATTCTTCTTCATCATCAGAATCACCCTATCATCGTACATTTTACAACTACCTTAAAGCTGAATGGGACTCTTTCCGTGATTTTCTTTGTGATGGCCGTTGGGTAGAAATCTTTTGTTTTCCTGTTGACAAATGTGCTTCTTACATAACTTCATGGATTCAGGTTGGCATGGAATCCTTTATTCCCTCTCGATGATTCCAGGTTAAGCCTCACTCTTCTCCATGGGTTTCCTCACTTTGTGCTGGTACAATTGCCAATTGAAACCGTTACTTCCATATCTATCAGCAAAACAATTCGCCAGAAAACAACCGTCTGTTTATTACTGCTAGAAACCATTGTAAAAAGATTTTGTCTAACGCCAAAGCTTGCTATTCTCAGGTCATGAAATCTTGTATTTCATCACAAAAATTAGTCTCTCGTGACTTCTGGAGAATCTTTAATAGTATCAATAATAAGGGCAAATCTGTAATTCCACCTCTCTTGTAAGGTTCAGACTTTGTCACCTCACCTAAAACAAAGCTGAATTGTTTGCTAAGAACTTTTCATTAACATCTCTTGATTCCACTAGTTGCGTTCTACCTGATATAGCCATCAAACAGGTTGATCCATTGCTTAACATTCGTATCACTCCAGCTTCTGTATCTAAAGTGATATCCTGCTTAGACTCTTCTACATCTTGTGGCCCAGACAACATACCTGTTATAGTCTTGCAGAAGTGTTCAGCGGAGCTGCTGCTTATCCTTTCAAAACTATTCAACAGGTGCTTATCAGAGTCTTGTTTTCCAGCCTGCTGGAAAGCAGCATTTGTTATCCTTGGCCATATACTCCTTTTACATTAATGATCTTCCAGATATTCTCACATCTGGATGATTGTTAATGTAAGGTGGCATTGTTCGTTGATGATACTACCATTTATTCTTTGTAATGCAATGTTATAAAATGCAATGTAATGCTATTTTGTTTAAGTTAAATGTGGTTAGCGTAATGTATGTAGCGTTTATATATTTATGGAGCTCCAAATCAAACATATATGGTAAAATACTGCGAAAACAGACCTTTTTAAAAATTTTTCTACATAGGCTTTTTGGAGCCACTACGCCACTGCAGAGGACAAGAGATCTTGATTTAAAGACATGATATATTTAAGTGACAATTGAATGAGTACCAATTTAAGTAAATTTAAAATGAAAAATAAAAATCACGATTGAAATTTAAAAATTTTAATTATATCTGTAATCTCCCTAACACATGTATAGAAAGAAAAAAAAATGTAAGAAAAGGAAAGCATAAAAATAAGCATAGAAAAAAGCGAAAAAAACAAAACAAAAACAAACTAAAGTTAAAAATCTAAAATCTAAGCTGAAAAAAAAATTCTACACAAAAATTTTGTTATGGTTTTTTGTACAGGTTTTTTATATTGTTTACAAACTTTTATGTAAAATCTGATCATGAATTCATCACGTACTCTAAATGGTGAATAACCATTTTTATGTACTCTTCATGAATAACTTTTTTTATGCACTCTTCTTGTGTAACTATTTTTATCAGGGTTGCTACTATAATTCTGGAGTAAATTTTTCTGATTTTCTATGATTTTTTTTCACTAAAATTTTGCTAAACTTTTTATGATATTTTTATTTTTCATACTTGAAAACTTAGCATTAAAACTTTGACATTAAACCTCAGACACGCTATTTTAACCTCCCAAAGAAACCAGATCGCCTGCTTTCCATATAAAAGGAATTTTTATATTTCTACTTTATAGAGAAAACCAATAATTTGTTAGATAATAAAAACAAATAATCCAACACTTGGTACACTCACGTACTAATTTAAAAAACAGTTAAAATTTACAAAATGGTCTTTGAAATAAATATAAAAACTAATACTAAACAAATATGAGAATATCAAAATTAATCTAAAAAAAAGTTAGAAAGACAATCCAACATTTTAGATATCTTAAATACCTAAAAAACAATAATAAAAACTTTCTTTTCATACTTTAATTCCATTTGTTGCAACTATTTTCCTCTAGACAGTTTTAATATTTCAACGAGGTGTTACAAACAGCATTTATCATTTCATTGTTGATTTCTACGTGGTGAGCCATGTTAGATATCATCAAATCTTAGAAAAAAAACATGTTAGATATCATCAAATCTTTGATAGTTCACAAGAGCCAAGAAACTTTCCTTTCATGTTTTCACTAAGCATGTTACTGAAGCCCCTCTCAACTGATCTTAACTAAACTCTCAACTCTCAATCGATGCTTGAACATGACCTAATATAAAAATGAGAATCAAGACTTTTGACAGAACCTTGTATTAAATACTTCAATTGTTTTAAAAATGGTCTTAACGATATCCAGTGTAACACTTTTTTAAATGCCGGTAAAAGATATATAAAAACTTTCCTCTAACAACTTTGAGAATTGTATGAGAACAAGATCATATTTGTTTGAGAGATATGAGAGACAAGCAGGAAAGATTTGTTTGAGAAATATGCAAGCAGGAAAGATGAAGTGCAGATTTTAATTGTTGAATTTCATCTTTTTTTGGTAGGGTTGACTCTGAACTGATGTAACTAGTTGTTTCCGAAAAAGAAGATCGATTTAAACTTGTTTTAAATTTTTTTTCAAAAACTCAAATAATTATAAGCCAACAATCTTTTATAATTCTATTGATCACATCTTGAGATAAAACAACCTTTCTCCTCTATTCCATAATGTTACAGTTATAATTCTATTGATCACATCTTGAGATAAAACAGTCTTTCTCCTCTATTCCCTAATGTTACAGTAATTGCCATTGATTTCAAGAGTAAATACTTCTGCCTTTTAGTAAAATCAAATTGCATAAATTCCAATTGATAATGCAGTATAAAACATCTTTGTATGATTATTAAGCTTTAAACAGTTGAAAATAATAATAAATAATAGTAATAAAGATTGCAGAAGATTAAATAAAAATACAAGATTTGTAACGAATATATCTGATGCCACAAATCACAATAAAATCAAATCACTTTTACAAAATTATTTCACAAATCAAAATTATTTCAAAGAGAAATTGTTGAATTGCGTGGCTGTCTGTGGTCACTAAGATCTGCAACAAATGAATTCTTTACATTAAAATAAATGTTACTGTTGACTGTTAATAACTCATCATGATAAAAAGTTTTGATAAAAAGAAGAAATAAAATAATCCTTTTAAGACTTAAATATGATAATTTATTTAACTTAAATATGATAAATATGTCAATTTACATGGTAGATTTAGAACAATTCTTTCAAATAAACAAATTCAAAATTTGAAAAAGTATATATAAGATATTGAGTTAGCTTATATGAGCATCACATAATAGTCTACCCAGTTGGAAATGCAACTTGAAAAGTTCAATTTAGTGAAAGTTAATTCATCTTTACTTCCTGCTAAAGCATAACTCTTAACTCTTCTGTTTTGGTTGTTTACTTTTAGGAAAAGCATTCCAATACTTTACCACTTTTTTCATATTCGCTTAAATTAAACATTATATGCCTTCAACAATTTAGGTCTTCAACCTGTCATAATCAGCAAAATTCATAGGGAATTTTTTTACACGCATTGACAGTTAGACAATCAGCTCTTGAGGCAGGAGAAGCATGGAAAAGGTTGTATGAAGGTTTTATTAACTTCCCTGATTGAAAACCAGTTTTAAAAGCACCATGGCAACTCTTATTTTTAAGAAGTCTAAGCTCTTGTTGCTCATGCTACTTTTTAATAAAATCAAGAATCAGTTTACTCTAAGGCCATCTTTACATAGTTTTATCAGATTAATTTTAAATATAAAATTAATTTTAAATAAATTGAGAAATATTTGTATACAAGACAATTTAGATTGTTGTTTCAAAACCGAACAATTAAATACATTGGTCAATTTTGGAATAAAATCATTCAGGTTTTCATCAAAGGGTATAAAAAGAAGATTTCTTGATATTTTTGTTGAAAGTTTGTGTAAACAATCCTCAAGATCAAAATTAATAAACAAGTTTTTATCTGCGCCATTTACTAGCCATTTTTCAAACAATAGATCACTCAACCAACCTTCATTGAAATAATTTTAAAATTTAAAATTTTTATTTAATCTAAAAAAGAAAATGGAAATACGATATGGTTTAAAAAAACTTTAAAAGCTTTCACATGTTGTAGCTATTTCTACACAAAAAAAAAACCTAATAAATTCATTTTTATGATTTTGAACTAAATTAATCTTTTCCTCCTGATTTTCCATAGTCAGATTTTACTGACTTGAATTCTCTTTTCTATAGTCAGATCTAAATTTTACTGACTTGAATTCCCTTTTCCATAGTCAGATCTAAATTTTACTGACTTGCCCTGAATTCTCTGATTTGGTAGCAATCCTGTTTTATGTATATTTCATACATAATTTGTATATAGTCTTCATGTATACCTTTTTTTTTATGCACTCTTCATGTATAACCTTTTTTTATATACTATTCATGTAAAATCATTTTTATGTAGCTTTTATGTATAACCATTTTTATTACTTTGATAACTGATTATTCTTTTTTTAACCTTTTAAATTTTAAAACTAAAGTCCAAAAACAGTTTTGAATTCAGAAAATTATGTACAATATGGATTTCTAAAAAGTTTTTAATCAAACATTTTATTGGTTTAGGATTATTATGTACACTAAAAATCATTATGTACCCTCAAGATCATTATGTACCCTAAAGATCATTATGTACCCTAAAGAGCATCAAGTGTAATGGGTGGAAAAATATAAAAATTCAATTTTTTTATTTTTTCTGATCAATAATAACAATTTAAATAAATTTTGAAATCACATTCAATTTTAAATTTTAAGCTTTTGTTTTTATATCATTTGTTTGACTTTTTTTTCAAAGATCAAATGCTGCAACTATTAAAAATTTATTTTTATGGAATTTCTTTAGCTAGGTTAATTAAGGTTAAAGAAGTTCTATAAATAACCTAGGTTAAACTTCTTTAACCTAGGTTATTTATAGAACTTCCTTAACCTAGGTTATTTATGGAATTTCTTATTTTAAAGCTATTTTATCTTAAAGCTTTATTTAAGCTATTTCTTAGGGTTTTATACTTTTAGAGGTACCATATGTTTGACATGATTTATTTAAGAAAAAAAATAATTTTTCAAAAATATTTTTTGAAGTATTTGTAAGTATAAGTAAAATTTGAAACAATTTTTTAAAACAATTTTTTTAGTAAAACAATTTTAATTACTAATAGAAAACAAATAACGAATAAAATAAATAAGATTTAATATATATATTAAATAAATAAGATTTAAATAATAAATAAATAAGATTTAAAATAAAAGATAAAATAAATAAGATTTAAATTTAAAATAAGTATTTTTTAATATTGAACTTTTGAATAACTTACACCTAGTTTTCCAGAAAGTTTTGACTGTATGCTATATTGCAATTCTGCAGCTCTTCTCTGTTTATCGGTAAATTGATTCAAGAGATTTTCCCTGGCCTGCTCTTCTCTCAATCTTTTGTCAATACGCTCCTGGTTTTCAATTAGGGCAGGTGCAACTCCAGAATTAACTAAAGTTAAAATACTAATGGTATTAAAAAAAGAGAAAGATAAATCATGAAAACAATACTGCATCATTTAAAAAAGCTAAAAATGTAGAACATAAAATTTATAGAATTCACAATAACACAAAGACTTTAGAACAAAAATTCTAAAACCTTGTCAAATTTTTCAAACACAAACTTTTAACTACTTAAAAATCAAGTTTCAAGTAACTTATTGAAAGACCTTGATCAAGGTTGAGGCTAAGAAAGATTGGTAAATAAATTGGTCAAGGTTAAGGCTACGAAAGATTGGTAAAGAAAGGCTGGATAAGAAGTTGGTCAAGGTTTGTGTTATAGAGTTGTATATCTTTTTTTTTCTTTCTTTTTTCCTGGATAACATCCTTTTCCTGGCCTTATCCTTTTCCTTCCTATACTTGAAATTAAAGATTTCAAAGAATTAAAATTTAAAAACTGATGTTTAACAACAAGAAAGTGTGAAAGTCTGTAAAATTTATTTGCAGATAATTTTGAAAATTTTTGTAAAAGCAAATCTCATTTGATGAAGCTTTTATTCACTAAAAAATTGTCATTAGAAAGAAAATTCCTATATCTTTACATCTTCATTTATATCTATCTATATTTTTATTTATAAATTTTAGCTAACTTTATATTTTTATTTTGAAAATTTAATAAAAAATCTAACAAAGCTTATGTGTTTATTAAAGTATGGAGCTTTTTTGGATTGCTAAAATTGTAAGAAATAAAAAAATAGAAAACAATTATATTATAATATTACTAACAATATACTAACAATTTATAAGACATAGTTGATGATACATATTTGAATTCAAAGTGTCATTGTGAATTTGAAGTGTTAATATTTCTAACTTTGAATTAATATTTATTGTGTTTTAGTTTTTTTGTGATAATTATTTAATTTATATAAGTTTATTTCATTACTATTTCCACTTATGATATATGTCATTCAATTTATTTTTAATGAACAACAAGCTTTTATTTCTTTATGACATCTAATAACTGGATTTCTTCCATTTTATACTTTTCTCCTTTGTAATTTCTTTTTAAGTTACTCATCAATATGTATATTTTTTGCAGAGAAACAAGTTGAGTACAGTATTTCCAGAACACTGTTGGAAAGGTACCAAACATGGTGCGCCCCTCAGACCATTACAAAAACCTGTTAGAGAGAACAGGTAACCATTTTTTATAGTCAGAAATTAACAACAATATGCTATTCCTCTTCTAAGAGCCTCAAAGGTAGTCAGAAAGGATCAATATTTGGTGCCTATTGCGACCGGGCAGTGGTGTAGAGGTAGAGTGCTTGCTTCATAAGGGGGAGGCTCTGAGTTCGATCCCCACAACATCTCTCGTAGTACCGCCCTTAACTTGTTTCTCTGCTCAGCGACCTTATTCATCAAGGTTTGTGTTTCGAAGTTATAGAGTTGAGAAATGATTATAACCACAATTATTCCTCATCTCGCCTTCTCGGCCTTGGAGAGGTGAATTAACATTAAAAAAAAAATCACAAATGAGATTGATATTTTACAAAAGTCAACCATAATGAATTGTACTACGTAAAAATAAATGTAACATTTATTTTTAGAACAAAAACAGCATGCTGCTAAGACCATATAAAAAAAACAAAAAACATGCTACTAAAACCATAGCAAAATCAGCATGCAACAAAAATCTTAACAAAAACAGCATTCTGCTAAAATCTTAACAAACTGCCATGAAACTTAATACTTGAATATATTTCCTTTGAGAAACCATTTTATTTGGTTAAAAATATTGTTTTAAAGTAACTAACTGTATTTAAATCATATAATATCACATAAAGTCTTACCATGAAAAATAGTTCAACAAAGATAATGACAATGATGAGAGCCCCTTAAATGTTTTCTATATAATAAAATAATACTGGATTTAAAAAATGTTTGAATAAAAAAAAATTTATTCAAAAAAAAAAAAGTTTTATTCAAAAAAAAAGTTTCAAAAATATGTCATGTTGGGTCTCAAACAAAGTGAAACTATATAAAAGTTCCAAAAATAATCATTATTTTGTAAAAAAGCAGAAAAAAATTTTGATTAAAAAATTTTGTTAAATTCCCTATTTTTCATTTTTAGTTAAAAACATTATTTTCAGTTCACTAAAATCTAAAATAATAATTATAAAATTATTCATATTTTTGAAATTTTCATATAATTTTTTTTTGATAAGGGGTTGTCCACAAATTATGTCACGCAATTTTTCACCATTTTAGATAACTTGTCATAACATAACATAACACTTTAGTAACAAGTTTCGTATGAGTTGTCACAAAACCACTACAGCCCCCCCCCCCCAAATTATGACATAAGTTATGGATGACCTCTAATATTAAAAACCCATTAAATGTTTGAGGGTCTGTAGCCTTAAAAATATTTTTTATTCAAAATGTTTTAAATTTAGTATTACTTTATTACTAATACACATGTAGAAGGTGCCAGCAGATATTTTCAAATAAGTTGTTTTTTGAGTTACCCTATATATCAGGGGCTGTTCTAAAGCATTTTTGACAGCGTTGACCGTATTTTAATGCCGTTTGGGTACTGTCCAAATTAAAATTTGAAAACCTTTATTTTTTTGCGTTTTTTATGACAAATATTATATATATATATATATATATATATATATATATATATATATATACATATATATATATATATATATATATATATATATATATATATATATATATATACACGCACACATACATACAGGGGCTATTCTACGAAAATTTTTTTTGCTGACCTCAAACACTTTCAGATCGGCAGTTAAGTCGGCATTGCCGAATGCCGACCCTGATTCCGAGGGTTATATATATATATATATATATATATATATATATATATATATATATATATATATATATATATATATAGGTATAACAACAAATATATTTTTTTATTATTGATTTAAGAAATATTTTTTTTAGCATTTTAATTCAATGGAAAAAACAGTAACATACTTAGCATTCTTTTTCTCTGTTCTATCTGCCGTTTCATAGAAGCAACTATTTCACTAATATTTGATGCACTATCTAGTAACTGATCTTTATCTGGTGCAGTTTCTGGCAAAGTAGGAGGGAGGGGTTCATCATCTATCAATGCATTTAATCTGTTTAATTTTGCTTTTTTTTGCTGGGTATCTTCATCTTCTGCAGATCTTTTACGATTAATTGCTGAGGATCTAAAGAAACCCAAAAAGGTAATTCAATTATTAATACAAACTTATTTTATTACAAAATGCAAAAAACTTAATAAAACAATAATTCTAAAGTATAATTACTAAATAATACAAACTAAATAATATTTTTAAAGGACATTTTATATGAATGAGTTTAAATATAATTTTTTTAAACTATTACATGACAAATAAAAAATAAACCTAATAAATAAATATTTACTAATTTTACACTGCTTAATTATAATTATAACTACTTTTAATAAGATGATTTTTTTCCCTCCTTTTTTCTAATGTGTACTCTTAGAATGAACATATTTTATTATTAAAATATATATTTATTATTAAAATATATATTTATTATTAAAAATTATTTTTTTGTTTTGATTATTTTACTATAATTTACATAAAATGTTTTTAATTCTGTTATTTAATATTTAGAATTTTTTAATTCTGTTATTTAATATTTAGAATTTAAATTCAAAAGTTTTTATTTTAAATAATTTTGGAATGAAAATAAAAAATTTGTTGATTTTATTTTAATTATTTTATTTAAAACTTAAATGAAGCATTTTGCTTGCTGTTTTTAATTTAATTGAAATAGTAACTAAAATTGAGTTTTATAATTCTGAGGTCCCAAAAACAGACTTTCACAGGAAGGTGTGCAAAAACACGTCTTTATATGACCATGCAAATTACATTTTGCTATGATGATTAGGCTGCAGCTAATTCAAAAAACATTTTAAAAACACTCTAAATAAAAAATATTCTGAAAAAGTGAAATTAATTACATCAAAACTTCTTAAAAAATAATTTCATATAAGCAAAACGCTTTTAAAAAGTGTGCATTGCTATAATAAACAATATTAAAAATAAAAAATTGTTTTATTTTTATAAATGATGACATTTTACGATTTCGAATGTCTCTTTAACCAATTTTAATATAAGAATAATTAAAGTTAATACATTTAAAAAGATAAACAAAATTTTGTTGAAAAAAAAAGTTTTAGAAAGTCGTTATAATTAAATAAGTTTGATCCTTAAATGCTTTCATATTATTGAAACACTTTTCAATGAAGTAACAAAACACTTCTAATTAATTTTTAAAATAAGTATTAATAAACTGTTGCTTTTTTTATTTTATATAATTATGTATTTTTTATGAGAAATGTTTATCTTTTGAAACATTTTAAATAAAAAATAAAAAAGTACAAATGTTAAAACAAAGATTATAATGGTTTTTTATTGCATAAATTAAATAGACTTATCATTTTAGTTTGATGAGTTTTGTTTTAATTGGGAATATATGTATATAAATGTATATATATATATATATATATATATATATATATATATATATATATATATATATATATATATATATATATATATATATATATATATATATATATATATAAATATTTGTGTTTTTGTTTTAACTAAGTATTCGATTTTAACTAAGTATATCCGATCTCTGTATATTTCTTTATATTGATGCTGAACTTAATAGTATTAGTTTTAGTAGTAGTAGTACTGACTCCTACTTGTTTGACACAGAACTCTTGGCAGACATTGCAACTAAGGTAATGGAGAGAAAGAGTTGCAGCACTTTAAAAATATAAAAATGTGAACGAAAGTGTATGCATATATCTAATTTCAAATTATGTAATGCTAAAATATATATTAAGTTTCACTGCTGTACTTTTATATGAAAATGCCATTGCGACGATATCTCAGTAATTTTGATTTATAACATTTATTTAACTTTCTTTTAGGAAAAAAAGATTTTACAGTCAAAGTTACACTTTCTTAAAAATTAATTAACAAACAAGAGCCCTTACTACTTACTAAAAATTATTGAAACAAAACGACTATATAAAGAATAAGTATAGAAATAGTCAATGTGGAATAAACTTACCAGGTCATGGTAAGTCCATTATTACACATATTTTTTAAGTCTATTTTAACATGTTTTAATCTAATAACTTTTAATCGTTGATCTTTTCTAAAGTTTTTATTTTGCGCAAGGCTTTAAATAAAACCATAAAATTTATTATGATTGTTTACATAAACGCATATGTTAACTAATAAAAAATGTTATACCAAAGTTTTAATTTAATAAAAATCTTTTTTTATTTTTTAAGTTTTATTTTTTTTTAATCACGATAGGAATGAGTTTAAATCTTTTATAATAACTTTTAAATTCGTTACATGAAGTACTTATTAATAAAATTGTAATGCTCAAATTAAAATTAAATTAAATTGCTTGTTGGCAGTTTATTTCAGGGGTGTGGAGTCGTAAAAAAAAAGTAATGATCTGACTCCAGTTGTTGAAATTTTTTGAGTACAACTCCGACTTTGACTCCAACTCCAAAGCAAAATTTTTGAAAAGTTCATTGAATTCTTTTAAAAATATTACGCAATAATTAAATTTTTTTTTTGACAAATTTATGAAACATTTTTTGAGGTTTAGTATGGACATAAGGTTAACTGAATGTTTTATACATGCACGTACAATACCAAGAAGTTTTACTATTAGAGTCAGAGTGGCGATTTTGTTTGTAAAAAAAAATGTTGCAACTCTACAACTCCGTAGCCTTGGTTTATATTATTTAAATTGCAGGCGCATTTTATTATTTTTTTCCCCCCAACTTTAACGAACAAAAAAGTTAAAACCTTTTTTTTAACTAAACTTAATAATTAGAGCATGAAATTGTTAAAAATTAATATTTAAAAAAGACTACGATATTATTTTAAACAGTTTGTTTTTTTTTGAAAAACTTTTATACAATTTAAAAATATTATATATAACACTTTTTAATAAACTTGATAAAATTTGATCATTTATTAAACATTCGTTACAAATTTGTAACTTAATTTAAAACCGTTTTGCATAACTTTAATAAAACATTTCAAAAATTAGTTTTAATAACATTTATTTCAAACATAATTAACATAATAAACCTAATTAACATGTAAATACGTAACAAAATAGTTTGCTTTGAGTTTAAATTTTTTATTTTATTTTAGTGCTTATATAATTTCTTTTTTATAATTCTTTTTTTTAATTCATTTTTTATTAGGAATTTTTTCTTTCTATAATTTTTTTAAAACTTTTTTTCCTAGTTTAAGTTTAGTTTAGCATTTCTACATTCAGCACATTTCTTAAATATTTGAATCATCAAAACATATAAACAATTGTGGTTAAATTGTCAAAAAATAAAACCCTTTGCGTGGTCAACAACAGCGTTCGATCGTATGCCATTCCTGTCCAAGCCTGCTTATATTCCTCTTAATTTTGCTTTTAGTTGAGTTGTTTTCAATATTTTTTTTGAACTTTTTTGTATGAGTAATGAGTGAAATATATATATATATATATATATATATATATATATATATATATATATATATATATATATATATATATATATATTTCAAAAATATATACCTAAACTTGTATGTATGGATATATGGATATCCGAAAAAACTAAAAGTTGAGGAAAATATCCGGAATTCTGGAAATATCCAGAAAAAGATAATCCCTGACCCAAACACTGTATTTTATAGTTGAAAATATCATAAACCATTTGACATAGTATTGATTAATAACAAGAACCAGAGAAATGTAATGCAGCACAAGGATTAGGTTTGCAACAATTTAGAATTGAAAAAAACTTTGCTGGAAACATTGCAATACTATTTTAATATCAGAAGTTATCATCAACAACAAAATAATATAATACAGATTTTTTTTAATATGCACTAGATAGGACACTATCTTGTTAAAAACTAACAAGGAGGATAAACAAAAACTCACTCTTGCTTGGCTTCTTTTTCAACAAGTTGCATCCTTTTACTGCATCTGTCCCTTCATGCTATAAAAACTTTTATTAGTCACGTTTTTTTCCCTTTCACATCAAAAAAAACCCTTATAACTCTTACCCATCTTCATATTTTCCTTTTTTATACAATTTGCAACATTTTAAGTCTTCAGTTAACTGTTTCCTAGCTTTTTAACGTATCCTCTATTTTAAAGTAACTTAATAGTGGTTGCTTATAACCTTGTTGGAAAGAAATTAGAGTTTAAAAATATATAAATATATGCCAGTATTTAATAAATAGCAAATGTAAGTATAAAATTATAATAAATAAAGTATTATAAAGTTTTTTCTAGCTAAAAAAAAAATTCTAACACTAATTATAAAACTTAATCTCAGATCAGCTTATGATAAAAACGTCATGGAATAGTCTACAAAAAAATGCAATAGCACCTTACAAGTTTTAATTTTAGTTTTTATTCTGTACTAAAAATCATATTTTCAATCTTAAGGATAGCACTAAGTCACTGTATAGATAGTTGATACATGCTGGTATTTGACCGGGACTGGGTTTGATAAAATATAGACTGTAGTGGCCTTCATGGCCTTGAGTTAAATTTAAATAAAAAAAACTTGGTTACTTCAGACTTTTATTTAACCTTGGTCAGTTAAAGCAGGTTATGATGCTCTTTAAAAAGCTCAACTTGTCTTAGCGTACCTTAGTATATGGTCTCTATATGGAAATAAGCTGGAGGAGGATAAACTACAATACCAATTTATTTTTATGTAACGTAGGATGAGAATGGATATGCAAACCTACTCTGGAAAATGGAAATTATCCTGTATAAAAAATATAATAAATTTTTATATTGTATTTAAAAAGTAAAGATAAAAATCTAATATCAAAAATAAAATTAGTAGAAAATAATATATAAGTATACAATATATAAAATATAAAGATACGCTAGATAATCAATTTTTTATAAACGAAGCATGTTTGCTATGCTTTATATAATTAGGTTAGTTAAACTACCCGCTTAAAATTCTTACAACATTTATTAAAATTTTGGTTGATCCTGTAAAGGATAATATAAGAAATAATTTTGTAATAAATAAAAAATAAAAATTATATAATATATAATTGTATAATATACTACATATTACAAAGATGTTAAATAACTTAACTTT